ACAGACTCAGAGACTGTCCGCAGTCTTTTGTTCATTTCTAGAATGAAATATAAAACAGAACTTCTCAAAAGTTCTGAAAGCTGCACTTGAGTTTCCTTGTTTCATGTTTATTCCCATCCAGAGTTGGAACCTGACAGACTGGAATATTTTAAAAAGTCTGTTGTGAGATTTCCAGCCTATTTTACAAAGCCAAGAGACTCATAAAAATGCAGTTGAGCATGAAATAGACAAAATTTTAGTTGCCTACCTAAACTGCAGCCATAATGACAAATCATTAGTATTTGTCATTTTTGCTTTGTCATTATCAAATGTGATTCAAAGCCAAAATGTGCAAAACACTGGCCTTTCCTGGGAGCTCAGTGGAAGAAACTACATTGTCCTCCAGAAATACTGACGCTGTGCTTGAATTTTGTGATCTCTCTTCCTTCCTATCCTTCCTTTCCAGTTTGGTAAGAAATCTTCTTCTTAAGTGTCTCAGTTAATTCTCCCAGGAAGTTCTCAGTTGGCTGAAGGCAGAAGACATCTCCTCTGCCAGCCGTACACCTTTGGGTTCCTGAGGACAAGAACATGCCTCTGCTCCTATAACTCCTTGTATAGCAAGAGGTGGAGTGGGTCACCTGAGATTTAACACAGATGTATCCAGAGAAATAAGAAACAGTTAGCATTTCCTTCCCTTCCTCATGGATGAGCAGGTCTTGGACCTCTGACTTTCACTGCCTGCTCCTGAACACAAAGAAGCTCAGTAGTGGGGATAACAACATCTGTGCCAGTACATCCCTGAACTTCTCGGTGGGACTGAGCTGAAGAGAAAGTTTAACTGCTGGACTTGTGCTGGCTCTGGGCGATGCACATGATACAAACACACCTGTGCTGAGGCTTATCCAGAGCCTGCTGGCGCTCTCCTCGTGAAGCGCAGCAACCATGGCACTGCTATTTGGCTCTGTAGGGTCTTCTGGTGCTTGGTCAGAGCTGGTGTTGCCAGGTGCACTCACACTCTCGTGATCAGGTTCTTTGCAGCAAACCAAGACAAGACTGGTCTGAGCGGTTATTGACTTTTTTTTTTTTTTCCTTCCTGTTTCGCAAGCCCATTTAACTTCTAAAGCCTGCCTTATGAGTTCTTGGATTTTGCATAGTCCTGGCAGTTTCTTTTTTCCATCACAGATGTGCCTGAAAAATAAACCTAACAAGATTTCCAGCATTTCTCTTGTACCATGACTTTGGATTTTTCAGCAAGCTGTAGAACAAATTACTCTACAAGCATTTTCATGTTAAGATATTACCTAATATCTCTTCAGATTTTTTTTGCCACCTCTCTCATATAGCAGATAGCTCCTAATAGCAACCCAAGTTCTCATTAGAAGATGTTCTTCAATGCCTGTGGCTCGTTAGCGGTGTCACTTTTGTGATAGCTTTTTTTTCTCATTGCTGGTAAATGTCAGGATACGAAGCATGGGAGTATCCTAAAAAGAGAAGGGCAAGAACAGTGTCTACATCCTTAGCAGATTTTCTGTCTGCTTATATTCACTTTGCATGCAAATAACATAAAAGTAACATTTCACAAGGAACTCAGTAGGT